TGTAATAATCGAAATTAACAAATTTACCTTTACCATATGACATAAATAAACAATATCGATGATATATACTAAATTTTCCTGAATTTAACAAATCTTGTAATGAAATTCTTACTCGTATTGCCCATTGAACAGGTGTTTTGTTCTGTTTTATGGTAGATAAGGTGTCAAATAATCTCTCATTATTGAAAATTTGATTGAGTTTATTAGCATAAGTTTCACCATAATGTGATATATATGATACAGCATACTTCATATTAAAACCAGGATGATTAATATACGGTTTAGGAAGTGTTTTATCTTTTTTATCAATAATAGTGGCGATATCAAAACCAGACATATTATCGTTTATATATTTAACAGTTTTAGTGTTTTTGATCTATTAGATTTGGTACAATATATATGATTAAAACCAGATTCATTTTTAGTACTAATTGGGTTATTAGATGAGTTGTGTATATTTGTCATATTTAGTGAGTAATATATAAATGAGAATGGGAGAGATGCATATTGGGTTGTAGCGAGAATTGTAAACCCGAAGGGTGCGAAAAATTTCATTTGTACCATTCTCGTATTCAAATTGTATCCTATATAAAAAATTAAGAAATAAGATTAAAATTATATTTTATGCGGTCCAATTGAATCACCTAATTGATTATTTTTGCGGACTGAATGAACCACCCAAGTCAAAGTACTGAGCCACCAGCAATGATGATTATGCCCTTTCAAATACACAACACACATAGTCAGAGACCCTATCGTCAAGAGGTGAAGACTCAAGCGAAATTTTTTGTATAACTATACATACCCATAACAAGTAACCTGGGTGATTGATCTATCGACACAATATAATCTTGTGCAAGAAAATAAAAATGTATTACTTACCCAATTCATCCAGCATATCATAAAATTTTTGAATTAGATCGTAAATGATAATATAACAACATGTTATGTACTTATGTAAATTTCAAGGTGGATACATTCAAAGCTATTTCTTATCTCGTAGCTCAGTGGACTAAACCACAGGAAGCTCATCGGGTCCTCCTCTCCTCGCTACGAAGACAATTATAACTGATGATCACGCCCTCTAAAATTGGGTTTTTATAAGCATAGAAAAAAATAAATTGCAGGGAGGTAATAGTCAGATCCTAGGCCTGCCTCGAAAGGCTATAACTATACCTGAGAAGACTATTCTATTAGAATAGATCGCATATTTTTTGCGGACTGGACCAACTACCCTAACTAATTATTGGGTTATTAAAATAATAATCGTGTGTCTGTTGAACCACAAATATACCCAGTAGAGGCCCTATCGTTTCAATAATAAAAACGAAATTTTTTGCATAACTGAGTATATTCAATAATAGCTTGGAAAGGTCGACCGATCAACACAAAAACAATCTAATGTGGAAAAGGATGGATTTTAAAAATTTTAGATAGCGATAGAAAATAGAAAAAAGATTTATATATACTTCCGTATTTATTTAATCCTCATGCACGTGGTGCTCAAGGAATGTTTAAAGTTGGTTATTGTTATGTGGCTCGCTAATGTTTGTTTTTAACTGTCGAATTTTCGATGTTCGATCAACATACAATTTATATACTTCAAATAAATGCCTATAAACATATGTGTGCTATTTTAATACAACCACGTACACAAGTTCATAAGAGTATACAAAAATTCGATCACGATTTTTCCACCAATGTGCGGTGCGTATAACTACTGTAAGTTATATTTTTGATTTCGCAGTCCAATGGGACCGTTAAATCATGTGTCTCACAATAACGATAATAACGATAAGGGCAGATCCTAATTTATTTGATATTTCTCTTATCTGTTACGCAATTCTAATTGCCACGTAAATCGGTGAATTATCTTCCGTGATCGTTCCCTGATCGTACATATGAATTTAATAAATTTTTTTCCGTGATCGTTCCCCTAATCACAGAGATCAAGACTGAGTTTATTACGTAGAAAGATTTAACTCCGAATTTAGTTTAACGCTAAGAAAAAGCCGTCAGTACTTCAACAGTTCTTCAACAGTGGCTTAGCGATTTTATATATATTTACTATGAAAAAGCCAACAGTTGGCTTAACAGTAGACTTTTTAATATGTATCGGTATAGAAGAATCATTGTAAAAAATTTTTTTATTAACGTTAATATTATAGCATTAGTAAGATACAATTTTATTAGGTATGTGGTTTGTATTACTTACAAGAAAAATCTGTTATGCGATCTTATAGATAAAGGAAATATGCAAAAAATAATGAAGACATCAAACCTCTGATGACGACATTTCTCCATGATGCTCACCCACATCCTGGTTTAAAGAGGGATTGTCGTTGACAAACTAATGCAGTTCACACGATTATCAGTAATCTCACTCAATCAAATTTCAAATTATATACTGACTTTTTTTGATGGTGTCTCGTTCTCTTTTTCACGAGTTCGTTTATTTCCAACGTTACTAATCTGTATATTATCGCATGATGAATTTATAAACTGAATATTTGTTCCTGTATTGATCATCTTTTCGCGGAGAATTTTTTCAACATCAAGCCACAGTTTATCAATATCGCTTCTTGCGTTACGTTGATTCTTTTTCTTGATACAACAAAAAAAATGCTATTAGTTCTATCTAAAATACTTTCAGTGTATTAACAATATTCAGCGCTAAGAAACCATAACAATCAAAAAGATCGTCAGAGGAGTGGCAAAAAGCACACATGCCTCCTAGTTATGGATGTCGTAACCACAACGATCAAGAAGATCCTCAGAAGGACAACGAAAAGTTGTGTCTTCCTAGTTGTGGACAACGCAGTCTTCAAAAAGAACACCGCGAAGGACATTCCCGTATAAAAAAGTACTTGCCCGAAGATCGGCTAGAAGAGAGCTAGCTTTCCATATTTTTGAAATGTCTGAGCTTCGTTGAACAATCGCCTGGAGACTTTTAACAAATGCGTCCGTTGCCTTACTATAAGTTAGTTCTTCAACATCCCCTCTGTGAGAGTCAATCCAGCTTTTATGAAAGTGAAAAATGGTCCAGTCCTTAACAGGAGTCTCATCAAAATAACGATTCCACCACTTAGACATAACGATAGCGTGTGTTGTCAGAAAAAGGTATTAAAAAATAAAGTGAACGCGTTGATAAGATTAAGGGGTATATTATATAGATGTGACAATGAGCTGGAACCAGGGACGATGATTTTCTGCGTTCACGGAATTTTGCAGACAAATCACGGAATTGGTTCAGATCATTTTTTAAATTTTGCCTGGATTTAGGGTCTACAGTCATCATAATGCCGGCTGATATTAATTCGGCCAGAATTTGCAGATCATAATGCTGGCCGACTTTACGTAATTCCGGCCAATCGCAGAATTTTTGCAGAATCATCTTTTATCCGGACGGAATTGGCATTTTGTCACCGCAGAAAATCATCGTCCCTGGCTGGAACATTATCACGTAAAAATTTTATTAATTTTCGCCAAGATCAACACTTCCAGAATTTATTTTGGCACATGTTAAAATAAAGATTTATTATTTATGCTTGAAGAGGTGTGACATCGGTTGTCACAGTGGCGCAGTAAGATTTTACAAATTATGCTTAACGTTAAACTATCGTTATGCCAAATCGCTAATTTTTATTTTAATTATTCGAGGACATAACAGATGAGTCAGACTCGAAGCTTTGCTTTTTCTCTTAGAAAATTATCACATTCACATCGCCTATATATTCCATCCGCTACTTTTTTGCATGTGTTGCAATATAGGTGTGAATGATGATTGCATTCGTCACAAACCTTACACCCGTGCTTCCACCCTCTAAATATATGCCACTT